GCCTAACTATCGCATAAAAGAGCCCGTTAAAGTCCGTCAAAATTGGATGGCGGACTAATTTTCGGAACGGCAAAACCTTAGGGGCTGTCCATATATTACGTAATCACATTTTTGGTGATTTTTGACCCCCTCCCCCCCTGGTGATCAAACGTAATCAATCAATAAACACCCCCCCCCCCATTGATTACGTAATCCCAAGAATAAAATTGTTTTTGTTTTAATCTGTGGATTCAAACGGAGATGCAACCCAATCTTGAATATTGTTTATAAATGGAGTTTTGTATGACACATTCGGTTCGTCTACGCTGAAATTAACTCCAACATACTCTTCGTCAAGCCATTCCAGGTCTTCGCGTCCTTCGTGTGATTGCCACTAAAAAAATTTTTCTCTGCTTTCCTATCTAATAGTGTGTTTAGACTGGGCGAATCATTGACATGCGACGCAAAGTAGAATGTTCAGATTTTTTTTCCATAGGAACCCTGTGGATAGAAGAAGAGAAAATTTTCTCAAATGTTTGACGAAGGTTCGAAAATTTACTAGAAAATGTAAAGGAATACAAAAGTAACGCCCGACTTTTATGTTTATTTTTCTTCAAATACGTATGATTTAAGGCCGCATCTATAATGTAAACGACTTGCATCATTTTTGAATATTCGAAAATGATTCTAGTAGTCTAAAAAGACTATAAGTTTGTAGATATAATTAAAGGAAAAAAGTTTTTAAATAAATTCTTTAAATAAAAAAAATTATATAAAATGATTACGTAATCATTGTGCAAGACCCCCCCTCCCCATGTTATCAAACATAATCATTTCAATGACCCCCTCCCCCCCCGCAAGGTGATTACGTAATATATGGACAGCCCCTTACGGACCATCCGTTCAACGGATGGTAGATGGTGGATGGAGCTCTGTGGGAAGACCCTATTAGAAAGGGACAAATATATATACATGTACTGGGATTTGTTTGGATAAGATAGCATGGTCGCTTGGAACTTTAAACTTATATAAATTTAAACTTAATATTTAAAATAACTTTAACTGGTAAAATCATTGGGGTTGATTGCTGTAAAATTAATAGTGTGCCTTGCCACGAAATCAGACATTTTTACCACGTTTTAAAAATGTTTTGGGCTGTGCAAAGTACATATGTAATTGTTTTTTATTTTTATTATATCCGGCATTAAGTTTTAGAAAGGCAATTTTATATAAATTTATAGACGCAGTATGTCTTCATTTAGAAATATGAGCGTTATTTCTAGTTGGCAACGGAGTAATTAGGCCTTAAAATCATGTTTGTGTTGTTCTTATTTGTTTATAGCACCTAATTAGTCGCAAAAGTTTTGAAAATTCAACCAAAAAGCATTAAAATCATTATACCCGTTACTCGTAGAGTAAAAGGGAATATTGTATTCGTGCAAAAGTATGTAACAGCTAGAAGGAAGCGTTTCCGACCCCATAAAGTATATATATTCTTGATCAGGGTCACTAGCCGAGTCGATCTAGCCATGTCCGTCTGTCCGTCTGTCTGTCCATATGAACGCTGAGATCTCGGAAACTACAAAAGCTACAAGGTTAAGATAAATCGGACCATTCATTAAAAAGGTATACGCAATCAAAATTGTTTATATATCTATCTCCCTCGAACTCCCTTTAGCTGAGGTTCGATTATTAGATAGTCGGCACACCAACCCGAGTACAGCGTTCGCACTCCCTTTAGCTGAGTGACGGGTATTAGATAGTCGGGACACCAACCCGACTATAGCGTTCTCTGTTGTTTTTATTATTGATCCCATTTTACAGTAGCTCTTATGAATGAGCACAATTGCACTTTTTAGATTCAATTTTGCTCATTGCTCATCGGTTCAGGTAGTATCGTATGGAAGTATTCTTAAATACCACAAAAAATACCAAAAGTGCCCATCGGTTTTTACAATTTTGCTCATTGGTTGCTCATTGCAGCCGACATATATCTATCTTGCTCGAACCTACGTAAAATTGTATAGTCTGAGAAAAAAATGCTCTAATAAATGCTCTAATAAAATAATAAGTTTTTCTATGCCAATGTAAACTTTTTTTATGTTGATCGGGGTATTCCCTAAACTGTTGAATTGCTGAATTGTTGAATTTTGGTCAGCTGTTAATCAGCTGTTCCATACAAAGTCAACTTTCAGAAATTTCAGCAATTCAACAGCCTCGAGGCTGTTGGAAATTTTGTTGAATCGTTGAAAACCAGAGTTGTCACCTTTTTTTATTAAAAGTCAGGTAACTCTGTAACATTTTAGTATCAACAGAAGGCATTATTTATTTCAAAAACAACTTAGGAAGCATATTTGTTGTTCTTTTTACCTTGGTAACAATTTTAGGCAGTAACTAGCAGAAATAAATCAAATTTCTCCTGTTTTAAGTTTGGTGAAATTTTTCAACAAATAACAGCTGTTTGGAAATTCAACAGGAACCATTTTGGGTCGTTCCCTTAATTGCTGAAAATTTTTGTTGAATTTTCAACAATTCAGCAATTTAACAGTTTAGGGAATACCCTGGATGGCAATGCGTCTTTGCGCTTTGCAAGTAAATTCGTCTTTCCACTACTTGTAAAAATCCATTATCGCCCATTCCTGTAGGATAGTCATAAGTGCCCAATTCCTCAGGGCACATCACTTAGGAAATGTTTGGATCTGTGACAACTCCCGAAGAGCTCGTCCACCATCCAAAACCAGCTGACGTCCTCATTAATGCAATCGTGAAGGCAACAGAAATCTTTCTAGAATTAACGTTGTGGAGATTCATTATTGTATCATATCTTTAATCAATAAAAGCAATGCTTTTTCAAATTTGTTAGTCGAGCCTAGTACTCAGTACGACGAAAACTGCTAGCTAAGAATAGGAGTAAACGAGAGGCAAATAGGTAGCTAAAGCCTTTAGCTGGGATTTTTTTCCACCGCGGTACTCAGTTGAGCTAAGGAAATAGTAAGGAAATACCAAAAGATACTATATTTAGCGGATGAATTCCAATGAACGCCTTTAAAATTTTACAAAACGTTGAGGCGACCTGGGTCACAAGCCTTAAATTCGCTGTTAGAATGGCGATATGTATTGCAGCAAACGTAAACAAATAACAGCTGTTTGGAAATTCAACAGGAACCATTTTGGGTCGTTCCCTTAATTGCTGAAAATTTTTGTTGAATTTTCAACAATTCAGCAATTTAACAGTTTAGGGAATACCCTGGATGGCAATGCGTCTTTGCGCTTTGCAAGTAAATTCGTCTTTCCACTACTTGTAAAAATCCATTATCGCCCATTCCTGTAGGATAGTCATAAGTGCCCAATTCCACAGGGCACATCACTTAGGAAATGTTTGGATCTGTGACAACTCCCGAAGAGCTCGTCCACCATCCAAAACCAGCTGACGTCCTCATTAATGCAATCGCAAAGGCAACAGAAATCTTTCTAGAATTAACGTTGTGGAGATTCATTATTGTATCATATCTTTAATCAATAAAAGCAATGCTTTATCAAATTTGTTAGTCAAGCCTAGTACTCAGTACGAAGAAAACTGCTAGCTAAGAATAGGAGTAAACGAGAGGCAAATAGGTAGCTAAAGCCTTTAGCTGGGATTTTTTTCCACCGCGGTACTCAGTTGAGCTAAGGAAATAGTAAGGAAATACCAAAAGATACTATATTTAGCGGATGAATTCCAATGAACGCCTTTAAAATTTTACAAAACGTTGTGGCGACCTGGGTCACAAGCCTTAAATTCGCTGTTAGAATGGCGATATGTATTGCAGCAACTCCTTCAGGCAGTTTTGCATTGGTTTTTGGGGTTTTCAGTCCATTTATAAATTGTTATTGGTAAACCGCTTCTGCACAAACACAGTCAAAGATAAAATTTTTTATTCTTTGGGCCGCGGCCAAAGGCGTTAATCGGAATTCATCCGCTAAATCTAGTATTTTTTTTGGTATTTCCGGGAAAAAGTCCCCGGCTAAAGGCTTTAGCTACCTATTGGCAGTTTTCGTCGTACTGAGTACTAGGCTTAAAGATACAGACAAAAGGTTCTGATTAGGGTGCGCATGGATGCTGAAAAATTAAAATAGTGAAAACGTAAAGCTTAGGCACTCCCTTTGGTAGGTTTCAAGTTGTTGCTCATGTTATTTTGTTGTAATACTTTTTCCCCGTGATAAAATTTCGCCTTAAAGCCTAGTACTCAGTTCGGCTAAGAGTTTTACTAGTCGAAAAATATTAATCTTCTGGTGTGACCGAAGTTTTCGGAGTTCACCCGCAATGCATGTAGCATGGTCTTACTCTCAGCAAACAAATTAGCTGGCGCCAATTTTAAAATATTACAAAACGTTGAGCCGACCTGGGTCGCAAGCTTTAAATTCGCTGTTGGAATGGCGATATGTATTGCAGCAACTCCTACAGGCAGTTTTCCATTGTTTTTTGTGGTTTTCCTTCCATTTATAAATTGTTATTGGCACACCGCTTCTGCACAAACACAGCCAAAGATCAAATTTTTTATTCTTTGGTCGGCGGCTAAAGGCGTTCATCGGAATTCATCCGCTAAATCTAGTATTTATTTGGTATTTTCTTACTATTTCCTTAGCTCAACTGAGTACCGAGGGGGGAAAAGTCCCCGGCTAAGGGCTTTAGCTACCTATTTGCCTCTCGCTTACTCCTATGCTTAGCTAGCAGTTTTCGTCGTACTGAGTACTAGGCTTTAAATACATTGATGATGGATGCGCTTTGTGGAAATCAAAGTGAAAACGTAAAGCTTAGGCACACCCTTTGGTAGGTTTCAAGTTGTTGCTCATGTTATTTTGTTGTAATACTTTTTCACCGTGATAAAATTTCGCCTTAAAATACGTTGATGATGGATGCGCTCTGTGGAAATCAAAGTTTCACATCTATCAAAATTCCCATCTTTTCTCAGGGATGTGCTCTGTGGGACTAGGCTATGAAGCACAGAATACCCAGCCGCAGGAATCCCCTTAATATTAGTAAATTAGAGAGTGTCAAGTAATTCGGAAAGCGGCCACACTAGTTACGACTTCATATTGTATTGGATTGGTATTGGTATTTTACTATAATATCTCAGAGGTACGTGTAAGTAGAACATTTTACGAAATACAAGTAATTTTTCAATTCTTTGTAATGGGGATGCCAAAAACTAAATTTTAAATGGTCTGACCTACGGCGAACAAACGAATTTCCTCAATACGCTGCAACTTTGAGTGTTTGCTATGCATTCTTACATCTACTCACACGCACACGAACGCGCATTAGAGTGCTGGACGAAACTATATATGTACATATGTTTGTAGATAGATGAACGTAGTACTTATAATATTTATAAATTTTCTGTTTGTACTGTTGTGTTCGTTGCTAGCTATTATTTTATCTAATTAAAATCAGTCTTGATTTAGAATTTCCAAGAACAACAGTTAGATGTGACCACTGATGTTTAAAACTTTAAAATGGGTGTGCATGTGTTAATTACGTTTGTGTGTGATATTTCAGTTTCATTTTTTAGGTTAGGTTGCTGTGTTGTGTTACTTATTTATTCCCTTTATTTATACTGTATATTCGGTAATAACTTGGCAAATTTGCTTATCAGTAGTGAGTGCACGTCCTTTTAATGGGAGTTTCTAAGTAATTCTCCTTACCGTTTTCGATAGCAATGTTTCTAGCGATTTATTTGTTTAGGGTTTTTGAGTGAAACTATTTTAAACTGCAGTCGTGCAATTCAAACCCAGTTATCCTAATCGCCGTTTAATCAGAACCAGGAAAGATCGTTTGTTTGGCGTACTTATATCAAATAATTAAGTCAAGCATCTCAAAACATTGTATTCTTTTTAATCCAGCGTCAGCATAACATTGAACAAGAGGCTACTGAAAATGACAGATTCGATGAAATTTGGTCCGGAATGGTTGCGCAATATGTCAGCCGAGCCCTCGGGCTCTCCCAGTACTTACAACGTCGGTGCTGGAGGCCCAAATAGCTCGATGGCAGCGCACAGCCTGGGCAACAACACGACAGGCTCTGCTTCGCGAAATCTATTTCCAGAATACCGGTACGGTCGCGAGGAAATGCTGTCCTTGTTCGATCGCAACTGTATGCTGCCGCAGATCCTGCCTTCGTTCAAAAAGCTCTTTGTGGAGAAGGTCCAGTACCCACTTGCCCTGACACCGAGCTCAGAGGAGGACAGCAACCAGAATCTACTTGGAAATAGCGTATGTCGAATGATTTTCATTGTTTTCTACAGCTTAAGTTGCCCTACTTTGCAAACAGTCGCGGCCGGCCTGGTTGCAGCGCTCGTCCGGTGGATTTGGTACTGCCTCCCGAGGCACTGGACGTGGTGGGACAGTCGACCGGGGGCGAATGCGCGGCAAATCTGTCTATCATCCGATATACCAACGTCCAAGTGGTCTCTACGATGAGGGCTTATCGGTAATATCCATCAAGGTAACCTGGAAGACCATAAGGAAGAGAGACTCGTTGCTAGCTACTTATTTAATTCTTATTGTTCTAGGCCGAACGCACTTGGAGCGACCGCAACGGAACAGGAGATTCAGCAGTGGCCAACACCTCTACAAGTGGCCCAGGTGCCCTAGATTGGAATGGGACTCCAGGCTCAAGTCCTCGGAAAGACTTTTCCAGTCATCATCGCAACATGGAGAACTGGCGACGAACCCGTAACGAAGACGGATCCGGAGACGGTCCAGTTGCCAGTGGTTCCATTAGTGGCCCTGATATAGCTGGTTGGAGGAGCGGTGGTGGCGGAGGAAGTACTAATACAAGTTTTGGTACCAACAGTCAGCGCTGGGGTCAGTTACTTCCCACTATATTTTCTTATCTTAGAATTAGTATTGGAGGACACAAGTTCGGCTTACAGTTTGAACAGTCTATCGGGGGTGCCACAGAAACCCCCAGTGCTCAAATGGCCTACAATTTGTATTAATGGTTATGAGAAACTCACATCCACCCAGCGCTACTCGATTTCTGTGGCTCTCCCGATTGATGGCCAGTCCATAAAAAGGTTGCAAAGGTGATTGATTATCCTTCGTTCACGAATCTAATACCAATTACATTAAAGTTCGCTAGAATTAGAATTAGAATGATGCCTCTTTAACAATCACGACATGTCACGAAACGCTAATAGGAGAAGTAGGCTAGGGCCCAAACTGTAGTACTCCCTCAGTTTACAGTTAGGGTGTTCAATTGAGTTGCAAACGTTGTAAAGTGTAAAAGTGTAAGGCAGTTCCAACAACAATTTCTATACAAAAAAATTTTCAAAAGTAGGCCTTTAAAACTATTTTGTATAGAAATTGTTGTTGGAATTGATATACACTTTTACACTTTACAAAGTTTGCAACGCAATTGAACACCCTAAGTGTTTTACAAAATGAACACTTTTTGTTATTTATCTCGATGGCTTTCATTAAATCCTATTCGCTTTAAATTCCCAATTTAAACTGCGTTCATAAAATATTCCCCGAAGCAAGGTTTCTGAGAAAAATTACCCCATAGCTGAAAAAATGCTGTAATTGGCCAACTATCAGGGAGTATTGGAGGCAAACTGATTGTTGGTTTGTTATGTAGTGCCACTCTTTCGAGTCCCATACTCAAAATAATTAGAATGATTCTTCGTAAATATTTTTTATTTGTTACGACAAATTTAGTGCAACAAGCAAGGGGTAACAACTAAAAAATTATATTAAGGGCCTAGCTTGTATCGCTTATATCGCTTCTACTTACAAATTAAGACACAACTATATGATACTAGTTGCAATAGACATATAAAGGGCTAAACGAAATTTAACGCTTCAGTAATTTAACTGTTAGAGAATTCCATACACATTTTACCATACTTAAAACGTGCCAAGTTTCATTTACACTTTTTTCTTGTACACTCATAAAAAAAATCGCCATTGATCCGTAAATCGCCTGTGATTTTCATCCAACAGCGACTCCGTTTCGCCTTAAAATCATTACCAATTTTTCTGAACTTTTTTGTCCGACTGCTTTTTTTTATCACTTTTGCATTTAGGTTTTTTATCTAAGAGGAACCCTTTCTTGTTTAAATGCCAATCATATGAAAATAGGGTCAATTTTTATTAATTTAATTTAATTTAAATTCAAATTTATTATAAATTATAAACAATGAATTTTAAGTACAGAAAACAAAAAACTTTATATGAAACAACATTTTTTGACGTTACTTTCATATGAAGTTTTTTGTTTTGGACAACTTTTTGTTGGGTTGAGTACTAAGCCTAAAGGAAGAATTCTTACCTCGACTTGAACTCGAACCCACGATCGTTCACACCATAGAGAGACATCTTAACCATTCGGCCACGCGTGCTTCTTGCAATGCAATGGTTTAAGATCAGCGGTCGGCACATACATACAACGACTTTTTGTTTAATATTTGTATAAGTAAATTGCACTGGGCAGAGTGTGTGTGCAGACCGCTGTCCTGCAGTATACGTGAGAGGCAGAGGATGAGCAGAACAATTCCCTATGCTCACTTAATAGAACGTTGCCGACCGCTGCTTAAGATGCCCGAAGTGTTAAAGGTCGTAATTATTGGTATACCAATTAGAATTACTTTAATTAAATCTTGTTAACAACAGTTTTAACAATTCAGTGAATAGAAAACCAAAAAAAACAAGAAAGGAAGCTAGCTTCGGCCAGCCGAAGCTTATATACCCTTGCAGATAAAGCAAACACCTACAGTTTAATGCTCACTCGGTGCAGTTCCAGGGATTTCAGATTCATCGGGCCTATTATTTAAATTTTGTTTTTAAGTTGTCAAAAATCAAAACGCCTACTTCCTACAAAGTTACAATGAATTTTCTTATATTTGTTTGAATATTCCTATGGGAGCCTTAAGATATAGTGGTCCGATTCGGTTCGCTCCGACATATGTACTACCTGCAATAGAAAGAAGACTTTCGGGAAAGTTTCATCGCGATAGCTTTAAAACTGAGAGACTAGTTCGCATAGAAACGGACAGACGGACATGGCTAGATAGACTCGGCTATTGGTGCTGATCAAGAATATATATACTTTATGTGGTCGGAAACGTCTCCTTCACTGCGTTGCAAACATCTGACTGAAATTATAATACCCTCTGCAAGGGTGTAAAAATGTAGACTTGTCCCTGCGTGAGGTGGAACCGCGGTTTCCGCCGCGACTTTTGGCTAGGCCACCATACTAGAATACCAAAAAATTACACAACTTTCTTAAAAACTAGGTATTTATTTTCTAAATTCAAAGCCGATTTCCCCATTAACTCAAGAAAAAAGTCCGGAAATCGCCATTAATCCAAGAAAAAATTCAACCACTCTTTTTATTAATTTTTAAATAAATTAATGGCGATTTTCCATAAACTTAAGAAAATTTTTCTATATTCAAGGAAAATTGGCTTAATTCAATGGCGCTTCAAAATTAAGGTCGATTTTCTAAAATGAAGGTCGTTTTTTTTTGAGTTTACGCACGAAGTACTCACCAAAACAACTTCATGTGTTTTTATCGAAACCACGTTTTAGAATTGAGCGGATCAAAATATGGTTCGATTATAAAGCTATGGCACAAATCAAAGCTAATTAAATATGGGGGTCCTAATTGTATTGGTATTGGATAACTATAAATGGACTTAATTAATTTTATTCATATATTTTTAGGGAGGTCTACGAGTTGGCGCGATGAAGATGCTAGCGTCGACAATCAAACTAGTTTGCAACGTTCAATTTCAACGGTTGGGACTGTGGGCCCAGATCGAGAGCGCCCTGGTAACAGTAAAGGATCTGGAATGGGAGCTGGAGTGGCGGTAGGAAGCACATCCAACCCTTCTGTACGCTTGTCAAATTCTAAGTCCTCTCAAATGTGGACTGTCAACAATGCAGTTGGTGATGGCGACGACAATCTTCCTGAATGGGCTATGGAAAATCCGTCAGAACTAGGTGGCAGCTTTGATGCTAGTGGGGCCTTTCATGGTGATACCGATCCTCAAAGTAGCAAAAGTTCACATAATGCTTTAAAGGATAAAGGCTTGAACTCTGATCAGAATTCACCTAAATCTAAAAGTGAAGAGCCTACTGATAGAGAAAGTATCAACGATAATACTTCTGAGGCCCCATTAAAGAAAAATTCGCCTATAGTCGCTGCACAAGAAGCCAACGACAACAGTTTATCTCCAACAAACCCAACGACAACAAAAATAGATGTGATTCATGGGGATATTTCAGATCGAATTAAAGAAGTCGCCGATGAAGTGGAAAAACTTATAACGGAAGATGATAATAAAAGCTCAGCGAATCCCAGCCAGCTTCAAAGTGAAAGCGGTCGGTTTCCTGGTGCGCTGCCAAGCCTGACAGATATTGAGTTAAGCATGAAGCCGAATTCTGTGAATGTTACAGCAGCGCGCCCGCAAGCACCTCCCTCCATGCCTATACAAATGGCTACCATTTCAGATGCAGCTCACCCATCCCACTCGCATCCAGATATTCCGTTTTCAAACCACGTGGCTCTTCAGCACCATAACATGCATCACCAACCACATTTTTCAATGATTCCCACGCCACATTTGATCAATCCAAATCTGAATGAACTCTGGTTTTACCGAGATCCCCAGGCCAACGTCCAGGGCCCATTCAGTGCGATGGAGATGACCGAATGGTATCGTGCTGGGTACTTTAATGAGAACCTTTTCGTGCGACGATTCTCCGACAATAGGTTTAGACCGTTGGGCGAGCTTATAAAGTTTTGCCATGGGAACATGCCATTTACGCACAGCCATTTACTTCCTTCGCCAATAGACCTAGAGAACCTTCCTGTTGGACAGATACCGGCTACTCTTTCAGCGGCAATTCCAATTACGCCCCGGAAGCCCTCCCCCATTGCTCTCTCGCTGTCTGTTGTAGAACAGCAGTTGCAACAACAAAGAGATGATCAACTAAAGGCAAATGTAACAGCCGCCGCAGAATCCCTAAGTGCAGCAATTAAAGGAAATTTGGGCGGAAATACCACTACGTCTCATATGCTTACAATGCGATTTCAGATGCTACAGGATCAATACTTACAGCACCAGGAATACCAAATACTGGCAGAGCTATCCAAAAACGAATGCTTTCAACGGCTTGCGGCTGTTGAACGAGAGGCGGTTGTCCGCCGGAAAGTTCAATTGCTTGTTCTACCTGAGTATCTAACCAGTTTAAATGGACTAAGCAACTCGCTTTCGGTATTGAATCCTGTTGCCGGGCGCCAGTTATATAGTGCAGTTGCTGAACAGGCTAAGAAGGATCAGCAGCATATGTTCGCAAACAGCAACGAACAGCAACGCTCAGTGGGTAATCTACTAGATGCCAATAATTTCATACTGAATGCTCAAATTATGCATCAGCAAGCGCAACCAGTGGTTGTCCCCTTGGTAGCATCCGTCGATTGTGTTTTGCAAAGTGGATCTGCAGGCGACCTCAATAAACTAGATGAGCTGCCCAGAAATGACTTGGACATACTAAATGAATACAACTTGCGAATGTTGTTGCGTGGCCAACCAACAGTTAACCAACAGCAACAACCATCGCTGCCAAATTCTACTAACGAAAATCTTTCTGGAGCGGATTTTATAACTGAAACCCAATTGCTAGCGGGACAAAACTTGATGATTCCAATGTGGTTACCGCCTAACAAGCAACAGCAACCTGATCAACAATGGCCTGGAATGACTAACGAGAAGACAACTCTGTGGGAAGTGGCCAACTTAAATGAAGAGCAAATTGAAGAACAACAACTTTTATTGCTCAAGAGCCCGCAAAGCTGCTTTGCAGATACAGTGCATTCAGTGCCAACACCCCCACAATCGCAAGTTCGATCAGAAGATAATTTTAAACAGGTCAGTTTAGCAGAATCAGATCCGCCCCAGATTATTGACAATCTTAAGGACTCACATAATCAAAAGACTGTTCAATCCTTTGCTTCCGACATTGAACAGTATCAAAATAAGGAACAACATCCACATCAGCAACAGGCCAAGACCAATAACAAGCACCATTTGAATGTAAGACAGAGTGTTCCACAGTCTGTACCCATAAAGCAAATAAATGAAGATGACCGCAAACGAGAGCAGACAGAAGAAAAGAAGCGGCAGAAGGAGGAGCGCAAGCGCCAGCAGATGGAAGAAGAAAAACGTCGAGCTGTGCTGGAATCCGAAGAAAGAGCCCGTCAAATGCAAGAGGAAAAAGAAAGACAACAGCAAATACAAGCACAGCGTCGAAAGGCATTATTAGGCAATGGGCAGTCTCAAGGTACAATGACAGGTAGGTTTTCTTATTACATTTAACGTATTATTTTACATTGATCAACCTATCCTTACAATGACAGATTTTTATAAAAATTAATTCATATTGAACCAATATTAAACAATAAATTGTGCAAAAATGAAATAATTCACAGATGGTGGGCTTTAGCCGGCTCAAGTTCGAAGTGTTTTTAGTGCCTTTTTGTTTTTAGTATTAAAATATAATTATATATTTCAAACCCCTCCTGGGTCCGTCTTCAGGGATGGATGACGCTGCGTCCGACCTTGACACTGCGGAGTTCTAAACTCAAAACGTTTTGGCAGTGAAGGAGTATAAAATATATATTTTTGATCAGCATCAACAACCAAGTTGATCTCGCAATGTCCGTCTGTCGTCCTCTGGCTCGCAAATAAGTTTCCTACTTTTGTTCCAGGGTATCAGCCCATTTTTAAGATTATTGAATCACAAATTTAGTTTTGTCCAACTTTTAATTTTAGAAAAAAAAACTGAAAACCTTTTTACCTTCAATTAAAAAAAAAAAATTAAAACACGAATCAATTGTCCAAGTTATTTAAACCAAATTTCTAAAAATTTTAGCTACTTCCGGGTCTCCTCAAAGCAATAAAAACGACGCTGTCAAGTCGCCTGAACCGCAATCAACTTCGCGTTTACCCGCCTCTTCCGTAGCGCCATGGTCTCTCCAATCACCGAATTCAAACAGCACTGCGCCTGGACTGGCAGAGATTCAAAAAGCTGAACGTCGGGAGCGTCGTGCAGACCAGCAGCGACATCAGGAGCTACTGGATAAGCAATTGCGTGCTAACGCTGCGGCTGCCGCTGAAGCTAACGATGCTTTGCTAAAATGGCAGGCAGCACCAGCGTCGGCTCCGGTAATGAGCCTTGCCGAAATTCAAGCTGAGGAGGCCAAGCGGTTGGCCAATGAACTTGTGGATCAGCAGCGTCGACGTGAACTGGAGCAACACCAAAATGCTACCCTACCATCAGCCGTTGTAGGGTCAAGTGGAACTACCAACATCTGGGGCAGCGCTAATAAGGCTTGGAGTGGTTCGTCGGTTGCTTCATCACTCCCATTGAGATCAAACACCGGAACTGGTTTGTGGGACGAGCCAAACGCATCAGGTACTAATCAAACTTTGTATGGATCTGGATCAAGCAGTAGCAATACCGTTACTGCGGCGGCTGTTTTGGTAGCTGGACTAAACTCGGCGAATAAAACCCATCAGCAAACTCAGAATAAGTCGGGAACTTCATTTGCATCGCCTCGAAACTTACGCAAGAGTCAAACATTGCCAGCCATACATAACGCAGGAAAAACGACTAAAAATGCACCAGGACAACAACAGCAAGAAAAACAAAAAATAACCACGGTTCGTGCGGGTTCGAAAGTTGCTGTTGCCTCTGTAGATGATAAGGATAAGGAGAAAAAGTCTAATGTGAAAAGCCAGGTGCAGCAAGTTGCGGATCAGACCATTAGTAAGGTTAATGAGTACGAGAACGAGTTTACAAGCTGGTGTATGAAGAGCCTAGATAACATGTCGGCCAAAGTGGATGGTAAATATTTGTAATCTTCACCTGTTCATCATCACTTATTTTGCAAATATTTTTAGTACCAACGTTCGTCGCCTTTTTGCAGGATTTGGAAGCACCTTATGAGGTTAAGGACTATGTGCGTATATATCTTGGTATGTACTTTTCTTTATAATGATTTTATTAATAAATCGGATAATTTGTACTCATATGTTTTTGTTACCATGAGGTTACTAAGAAGGGACTGCAAATAAGTGTTATGAGTTTAAAGCACGGATCGTAATAATTAAGACATTTACAATAAAAATTATGAAATAAAAATCAAATGCAGAGAAATCAGTCTTTCCATGGCCGATTACGAGAAAAAATAAGATTTTATTAGGCTATATAATAAATATTTTATTAGCGACATAATTTTTTGAGGATTAGGATTTCGTCCAAAGGGGCAGTCTGAAAAAATAACATTAATTTTTTCCAAAAATCCCGAAATTTAACGGATTTTATACCACAGGTATCAAAGTGAGATCTCCCCTGAGGAATTAGCTATGAATTCTTTTGTACGTTTTAGTAGTATTTAACTGTCAAAAATAAATAATAAGTATGGAAAATAATCGTAAATGCTTTGGAAAAAAATAATAAATAAGTGAAAAGAATTCGATAATTCCTCAAGGAAGATCCCACTTTGAGACCAGTGGCATAAAATACGGCGAACGAGTGGGAGCACTGACAAAATAGGTATGAGGTTAAAAATTCGAAGCAAGGGCATTTGCAATCAATGTGGTACTGCCCACTTAAAAAATAATAAAACAAGAGGGAACGCTATAGTCGAGTACTTCCACTATCAGCAAAGAGTATAAATACATAGAGACGACATCTCATTTAATAAAGCATGTCGTATGGCGGGTTCTAGTAGTGGAACCCGTAGTTTAACAGTAAAACCAGCACTGCTCGATTCTACTTGGAATCTAGTCGGTTGCGGCACTACTTGCCATTTGGCCTAGTGGACAAGACTTCCGACTACCAATCTAAGCGGTTCGAGGATCGAATCCCGCTGTAGGACTTTAAATTTCTTGCTTTTTAAGAGTGGCTATTATTTTTCTTTTGTTTTTTGAGTATTTTTCTTTATTTTTGTTTTTGTCCTTTTTTGATTTTTTTGTTTTCAAAAGTATTTTTTAAAGGGGTTAAAATAGTTAAGGGGAACGTATAGTTTGCGGCCTTATGGGCTATACGGCTTGCTTAAGATTGCCACTCTTTTTTTTTTAGTTACCCGTTACTCAGTTAATGGGATTGCGAGGGTAATAATGTTTTATTTTATACAAATATGGGTCGAAGCTTGGAAGGATTTATTAGTTCGATTGCTTTTAAAAAGGACTCTTTTAGTATATTTTTAGGATCGATCATAACTTTTTAATGAATTGTCGGATCTGAACAACAGTATATTGGTATTGATAACACAGGAACACAAAATTGAACTTTGTGAAATTTCCACGAACCATGTCTAACTTTCCATGATATTTGGGTGCTCCTGAGTGAAAGACCTACAAACTTATGTTCCATCACATACAGGTCCGCATATAGCTAAGAATAAAAAAAAACGATGTTTGCCGACATTTGGAATTATAATTGGATTCCTCTAATGAAAAACTAATTCTAAAAATTAAATTTATATGTAACTAATTATTTCATTAATGGAATCTACTTTCCACTGTATGCTTTCATTTCGGTTCAGGGCGTTTTCATGAGGATATTTAACTTGATATATTTTATTATGTTCTCCTAAATGTTGCAAATTTCAAATAAGTCATGAAATTTCACAGTCGTCCTAAAACAGATCAAGTTTAAAAAGCGCCCCGATCGGACATATATATCCTATAGTTTCCATAGAAACAATCGGACAAAGCTTTCAAATTGAAGATAATTCGCGTAGTGTAAGAGTTATTGACATGAATATTTCCAAACCCTATTCTTTTCTGCATACCTCGATCAGGGCGCGTGTCAATCGGACGTCTAAACCCTATAGCTCCCATAGGAACAATCGGGTGAAATCGGGCCAAATTTGATGTTTTTCATGATATTTCGCGGAGTATATAAGCTACTGACATGAACATTTAAAAATCGTATTTTTAAATTTTTCAAATCGGACCATTCGTTTCAAAGTTGTATATCCCCATCTCTCTCGCAGTCCCTTAAGCTGAGTAACGGATATCAGATACTCGGGGCACCAGACTAAAGCGTTCTCTAATGTTATACCCTTGCAGAGGGTGTTATGATTTCAGTCAGAAGTTTCATTAAAAAGTTATACGCAATCAAAATTGTTTATATATCTATCTCCCTCGCACTCCCTTTAGCTGAGTGACTGGTATTAGATAGTCGGGACACGAACTCGACTATAGCGTTCTCTCTTGTTATACCCTTGCAGAGGGTATTATGATTTCAGTCAGAAGTTTGCAACGCAGTGAAGGAGACGTTTCCGACCCCATAAAATTTTTTCAAAATCGGACGACTATATCATATAGCTGCCATAGAAACGATCGGAAAATTAATGGGAATATAATAGGAAATAAATTATTGCTTCGTTGGTTTTTATTGTATTCTCTTCTACTCTAGGATATAACTCATTTCAAATATTTTCGAATTTCGATTTTAATTTTATCAAAATCGAACTACTATATCATATAGCTGCCATTGAAACGAACGCAAAATTAATGAGAAATAATAGGAAAATTAACATTTTTGCGATTTGTAAATTAATAGGAATTATCTGCAAGGGTATATAAGCTTCGGCTGGCCGAAGCTAGCTTCCTTTCTTGTTTTTTTTTAATATTTCCGAATTTTGAATTAAATTTAACAAAAATCAGACGACTATATTATATAGCTGCCACGGGGAAGGATAGAAAAAATAATGTCAAAATAATACGAAATTTAACATTTTTGCGATTTGTGTGTTAATAGGAACGATCTGCAATGGTATATAAAGCTTCCCCTGGCCGAAGCTAGCTTTCTTTCTTGTTTTTAATGCATACCTTGATCAGGGTAAAATCGCGTTCCGATCGAACGTCAATATCCTATAGCTTCCATAGGAACAATAGGGTGATAAATTATAAATTTAATTAATTCATTTTGCTATTCTAGTCAAATTTGTATTCGTGAAATCTACAAGGGTATTAAAACTTCGGCGTGTTGTTTAATTCTTAAACCAAATGCAAAAACAAAATGGAAATCCGATATTTTTTGGCGGAGATGCAGTAAACACCGCACCACGCCTCTTCTTAAAAGTGTTTCAGAAATCGCTTTGCCACAGATATATTTGTCGATAGTATCGTGTAAAAAAAATTTCTGGATATTACTCAAATGTCACTTAATAATATACAAAAGGTTTGAACTTAATAAATATTAGCTATCTATCCCTTTAGAAGAGGATAGCCAACAATTTCCGCGAATACAGTTTTCATACTTGAGATCCAAAGTGTTTCTCAAGTTAATTTCGCAAGTTTTTATACCCGTTACTCCTAGAGTAAAAGAGTATAAGAAAGTAGAGTATTGTATTCGTGCAAAGGTATGTAACAGCTAGAAGGAAGCGTTGATATATTCTTGATCAGGGTCACTAGCCGAGTCGATCTAGCCATTTCCGTCTGTCTGTCTGTGTGAACGCTGAGTTCTCGGAAACTACAAAAGCTAGAGGGTTGAGATTTCTCAACTCAAGTTTATTTTAGCCAAGCCCCACGCCTTCTCTAACGCCCACTAACGATTTTAAAATGTGTCTGGCGCCCACACCTTTAAAGATTTCCGAGAAGTATAAATATAAATTTTGTTGTGTATACCTATCGAAATGTAGAAGACATTTTTCAAATCGGACCATTCATTAAAAAGTTATACGCAATCAAAATTGTTTATATCGCCCTAGCACTCCCTTTAGCTGAGGTTCGATTATTAGATAGTCGGGACACCAACCCGAGTACGGCGTTCGCACTCCCTTTAGCTGAGTGAAGTATTAGATAGTCGGGACACCAACCCGACTATAGGGTTCTCTCTTGTTTTATTTTATTTTTATCAATGGTGTAGTTTAACCAAGATTTATCTTTCAGGTGAGGGAAAAGAGTCTTTGGATTTCTCCAAGCAGTTTTTGGAACGGCGCAGCAAATACAAGAGCTTGCAACGTGCCCAAAATGCACACAATGATGATATGTGCAAACCGGCTCCCGCCATAACACCGTCGGCAAACGACTATACTGACAGCAAGGTGAGTCGAGAATGTCCCATTCACATATCTTATTAATTGTTCATTTTTTAAGAACAAGCAGAAAAAAGTTAAGAAGAATAAGATGACTAAAATGGACGCCCGCATTCTTGGGTTTTCGGTCACAGCCGCCGAGGGTCGCATTAATGTTGGCGTTCGTGACTATGTCGAAGGACCATAACCACTCCGGAAAGGCCAACGACAACCTCAAATTTTATATAAAATTACAAATCTTATAAACTGCAAAATTGAATTAAACGTTAGGTCACAAATGGATGTGCGCTAAACCCTGATATACCTAAATAAATATATATAAATATATATATACACAATCAATATAGTTGTTAATTATTGAAGCCAAATAAATATTTTATGTCGGTCAGACCCGACAGGGTTGTAATCCACAGCCCCTGGCAAATACCCAAGAGAAGGGTGAGTTGAGAAATGTACATTAGTTGCTGCTCTGTCTCTCAGCTGTTTCTGTTTCCGTTTGGTGCTGGCTTTGTCGTTGCCTTTATTATTTGGTCGTTGTTGTATAAAATTTGTGCACTCAAAAATGTATACATTGCGCAATCAAACAAATTAACGACTTTTGTTCTTTTCCACTTGAACGCAAAATAATACAAAACGAAGTCAAATATTATAAATTTGCTATTGAGGGGTGTACAAACTGACTGCATCTGAAATTTGTTGACTTAAAACACTATTACATGCTCTGGTTCTTTAAAAAAAAATGTTCCGGCCTGATTATATTAGCTTGAACCATGATTTGTTAGTGCTTAGTTTACAGTCCTTACGCTCGAATTGGCCCGCTATATAAAAACAATTACACATTTTAAACGAATTTTTTAGAATGTTTATTAATTTAATACGCATGTAAAAACCTTTTATGTATTTGATAAAACTTTTATCGGGCATAACTTTTTAGCGAATGGTCCGATTTGAAAAATTTCAATAGATATAAATAAATGCAACAAAATTGCATTCATACTTCTCCGAAATCTTTAAAAATGTAGGCGCTATTGGGCGATTGTGGGCGTTAGGGGGGCGTGGCCCTCGGCTGAAACAAACTTGCGCCGCGTAGGAAGCCAAAGAATATGTGTGCGCAATCCCAACTTTCTAGCTTTTGTCGTTTCCGAGGTCTAGTTTCATTCAGACCAGAAGATAGACAGGCGAATAGACGGACATGGCTAGATCGACTCTTCTAGTGATGCTGATCAAGAATATTTGTACTTTATGGGGTCGGAAACGTCTCCTTCACTGCGTTGCAAACTTCTGACTGAAATCATAATACCCTCTGCAAGGGTATAAAATATGCCATTGCACTGTGGGAAAAAAACCTGTTTTTGGAGCAAGTTAAAAAGATATTATATTCGAATTTTTTTTGTGCATTATTAACAAAAGTTTGAATTTGGTTTTTTTTCCATTTGTCCCCCGCACAGTAGTTAAAATTTTTTTTTTTTTAAATAATTGTTAAAAATTACACATGCCAACAGGCTTGCCACCATTTTATTTCGATAAATGAGGCTTTTCTAAGCATAATTTGCCACTACGCCTATACTCCATCAGCTCTGGTATATCTTCAATTTAAGAAAATCTTCACTTGTCTACGTCCTTTAAATTAAATGGTTACACGTCTCTTCTATATGATCCTTTTTGAAAATGTAATCTAAATTAACCACAAAAGAAGGTGGGCGCATTCAAAATTTGAAAGACGCAGCCAAATTTAAAAATCTTAGTTTGTGAACAGCGTTTAAAGTATTTTCTTCTATAATGCTTTTTTGACCCAAAGATACCTTATGACCTTAATTTTTAAGCCACTCATCAAGTTTTTGTGAATTGTTTTAGATTTTTAAAAATTAATTTTCTTACTTCCTTATTCCTATTCAGAAAACTGCGCCTACAAACAAAGTTTATGTCTAGCTTCTGATGCACTTTCTGCTAAGGAGCCAACAGGAACAATGTATTTTTCAATTATGATGTAGCTTCATGGGGAACCGAAAGTAATTAGTCCTATACATGGTGAACACATATGTGGCTAGATAAAAGCAAGTTTACCAAACAACAAGGACACTTTAGTGGTTATTTCTTTGGTTTTACTTCTTTGCAACTCTGTGCCATTAAGAAGTTATACTGCACAAACACAATCTCTAGCTCAAATCTATAAAGATACACATATAAGACGGTTCACAGTTGGACAACAAGACACATAAAAGCAAACATTTAAGCTAATTTACATTAACAAATACCTTTGCAAGGAATTTCCATTTTCAGATTTATGAAAGTCTTCTTTCACACCAAACAATTAACAAGCAAAGTAGGCTTATTATACCCAATACTCGTAGAGTAAAAGGGTATATTGTATTCGTGCAAAAGTATTTAACACCTAGAAGGAAGCGTTTCCGACCCCATAAAGTATATATATTCTTGATCAGGGTCACTAGCCGAGTCGATTTAGACATTTTTCAATCAAAAAAATTTGATATATCCATCTCCCTCGCGCTCCCTTTAGCCGAGTGACGGGTATTAGATAGTCGGGACACGAAACCGACTATAGCGTTCTCTCTTGTTTGACCTAAAAAACTGCATATTTCCGATATGCCATTATTTTCTTAAAGCTTGTATTTTTATAAGTTTATTGCCTTTTTTTTTTAGATTTTTCTGACCACAAACAAAAAACAACCTGTTTAGTTATTATATTATCCTACAAATAAAGCTGTTCTACTTACTTATTTCGTGCACCTCATTATCGATAATACTATCGCTGTAAAAATTAGTGGACGTTATTCAAATGATACTTAATAATTTACAAGAGGTTCGAATTAAATACAACTAACCAGTTTTTACAGAAAAAATCGCAAAGTTAGTTGTTTTCTTGATGCCAAAGACCCTTCCCCCCCTAAATATATCTTAGCATTTATAACATATCCTACAACTAGTACAAGCTCCAGTAAGATATAGTGGTCCGATCCGGCTCGCTCCGACATATGTACTATGTGGAACAGCCAAACCAAACCAATATAAAACTAATAAACTCAATAAATGAATAGGATATCATTTATTTGGCAAAATTAAATGAATATTAAAATTATAGTTGTAAGCTAAAAAGCTAAGCTATATCACCTAAATTGGTTGAGGCGTAACTCAGGATATACATTTTTTCTTGAACATTTTTTTTACAAAAATCGTATAAAAAAAGTGTTTGAGTTTTTTTTTGTGATCTATGGGTCATCCTTCTTAGTGTATTTTCAAAAAATTATTTTGTAAACTATTGTAATTTATAACACCAGTTTACAAATAAAAAAAATCGATAAAATACACACTTAAGGAAACCACTGTTTTTCGGTTAGGTACATCTTTCTGATTAAGAAAAGGCCACTTACAATTTTTTGTATGGTACCAATTTTTTTTAAAGTGTAAACATTTTTTTTTGCCAGCACTTTTGCGTGTTTAGCTACTTTTTTAACTTTGACGAAGTGTGGCTTCTAAATTTATGAATGACTCTCAATGCTGTGTATAAGAAAGGTAGATGGAATTCTATTACCTGTAAAATAACTATTTGATGGCCTTTTCTTAATCAGAAAGATGTTCCTTAACGTAAAACAAAGGTAAACTGGTGTAATCAGATAATCTAGAAATATAGCATGGCTAGAGAAACCTTTGAACAAAAGGTTAAAAGTTATATTAAAAAATGATTTATTTTATAAATTCAGCAAAACCTATTTTTGTTTAATTCACGATTAAAAAGCTTTTAGCGGATAATTTGAATTAAATTTAAAATGAGTACATATTACGTTCAATAAATAATATTAATGTATTTATGAAAATGTCGTTTAAGGGGTGTAAGTAAATTGTTTGCTATCAAGTGCGAAAAATTGGGCCGTTGAATAGAGGTCTTGAATAGAGTTTTCACCCTTATTGTGAAAACGCAACCAGTTCTATCAGATAATAAACAGGTATCTGGTTTCAATTGTGCCGTTTCAACATCTGTCGCAACCGCCCAATTACAACACCAATTCGAAGCTCATATAACTCAATTAGAGTACTCTTTTCACCAACATTGAAATCGCGTCATCCACTTTTCAGTCTGACTTTGATATTCCTTTTAGCTTAAATACAAATATTACACCTGTTTACAAAAAAAATCGATCAAATACGCACTTAAGGAAACCTTTGTTTTTCGTTAAGGAACATCTTTCTGGTTAAGAAAAGGTCACTTTACATTTTTTGTATGGTACAAATTGTTAAAGTTAAAAAAGTGGCAGAAAATGCAAAAATGCCGGCATAAAAACAGAAATTAGTTGTATAACTTCTATAGGGATTGTAGTGCCCTTTTCTTAAACAAAAGTTTCCCCAAGTGCGTATTTCATCGATTTATTTTTGTAAACTGGTGTTATTAATTTTTATACCCGTTACTCGTAGAGTAAAAGGGTATATTGTTTTCGTGCAAAAGTATGTAACAGGGAGAAGTAAGCGTTTCCGACCCTATAAAGTATATATATTCTTGATCAGGGTCACTAGCCGAGTCGATCTAGCCATGTCCGTCTGTCTGTCCGTCCCGATGAACGCTAAGATCTCGGAAACTACAAAAGCTAGAAGGTTGAGATTTTCCAGACATATTCTTGGGCTTTCTACGCAGTGCAAGTTTATTTCAGCCGAGCGCCACGCCCCCTCTAACGCCCACAATCGCCCACTAGCGATTTTAAAATGTGTCTGGCGCCCACACCTTTAAAGATTTCCAAGAAGTATAAATGCAATTTTGTTGTGTATATTTCTATCGAAATGTAGAAGACATTTTTCAAATCGGACCATTCATTAAAAAGTTATACGCAATCAAAAAATGTTATATATCAATATCCCTCGCACTCCCTTTAGCCGAGTGACGGGTATTAGATAGTCGGGACACGAACCCGACTATAGCGTTCTCCCTTCTTTATCATATTTTTGTACACATTTTTAAGAACGCATTATCAAAAAAAAAAATACAGATCCAAATTACTTAAAAAACAAGAGAGAACGCTATAGTCGAGTGCCTCGACTATTAGATACCCGTTACTCAGCTAAACAACTTAATAGAAATATGCCTTCTTATATGTTTTTCGCCGCTCGATTTTTACCCAGGGATCTCTTTCTAGAAGAGGCTTTCTAGAACTTTCAATTCTGCCTAGCACATCTTCCGTCTCTCTCTCTAGCGCAGGTGAATGCACTTGTGAAAAACGTATACGAGCAAAAAGAGACAAAATGCGCGCCCCATTTTAAATAATTTAAAATTTGCATTAACATAATGTGAATTAGAGTGACTACAGAAAAAAAGGCACATTTTTTTCAATGCCATT